TTTTGTACCAGAGACCACCAGATCTTATTATATGTCTCTGTTTGTAGTGAATTTGGGAATTTGTACAATAAATTGGGTTTTAAAAAAAAATGTTTAAAGTAATGGTAGGAGATAAAGTCACAGTTAATGACACGCATGTAAACTGATCACTAATATTTACAATAAGTCTAACATAAACTTGTGTAAAGACACGTATTTTAACATCACATTCCTTAAATGTATATCAATTAAAAATTTAGTTTCATAAAGTGACACTTCTCAACTTTCTATTTCGGAATTGAGGTTTTGTTAAATGAATATAAGTTTAAGAACATTTAACATAAAACAGTTAAGTCAACTCAAAGGCAATCTGCATACCTTAAAACTGTTAATAGTTCTACAGAATGACAATTAAAAATGTCAAATTAAACCAGCCTGACCCGTTTGGGACACAAAATGGCGATCACTTCTAAAAAAGTTATATTGGTCACACCTTTCTGTTATTTACTTTCGTTTTGTGAAAATATGGACCTGATTTATGTAGCCATACTTACAAATAAAATGATTCGGCGTTAAATTCCCGATGTTGTATATCTGTAAATCACTAATATTATCCAAATACTTCAAAATAATTAGACCGAACTATTACTAGGGCGAGGCAAGTTTTGTGTACGCTGTTCTGTTAAACTCCCACATCAAACCGGAAGTAATATTTATCTTATATTTACGAGGATTGAAATTTTTTTAGTTGTTATATATTTTGACTAAATTAGAAATATTAAGAATTATTTTATAACTTTATGATATAAAATAGAGATCGCATAGGGTATGGCGACATATTCATGCCGAAGAATCGTGATAATGTTACCATATGTTTTCTTTATCGACTATTACCTGTGTTTTGCTATTTCGTGGAATAGCCACTTGTTACGTGACTTGCTCGTGACTTTTAGCGGCAACTGTCAAATCTACATCTCGTGCATACTTAATATCATAGGGGGCTTAACATTTGTTAGAGTGAAGGTAATGATTAAAAATCAACGTTTTAAAATCCTGAAATATTACAGTCTGATAGATAAACTTCCTTTACATACATTTACAGCTGGCTTACAACCACAGACTAAAATGTATAAAGACCTGTATGGTATCTCAAGGGCTGACAATTATTTTTTAAAGAGACACAAATTACTTTCAAATTGTTTTGATTAATATCAAGCTTTATATAACAATATAATGTATACCATCAACCTTCAGTGATATTGACAATATATCGCTTACAGTTCACTAATAACAGGTTTTATTTCATTAATAATATATTTGCATCAAATGCTTTCATAAAATATCAGAGACGCTAATATACTTCATATGTTATAATTTTTCTGAAAATATGAAGAATTTAAAAGACATATATAACATGACAGGTTGATAAAAAACGGTATCGAAAATTGACCTTAGTATTTCGTTATATACAATGATGAGGTCATAAACAGAAATACAGAAACTAAAGCATATCTATATATATATAATGCACATTTTTTTTCAACTTAGAAAGAAAATGTACAAACAGTACTGTAAGTGTTAATCTGGGAAAATTTGTATGTACAGTAATAGAACTAAGAATTGAACATGGTTATTTCAAATATTTATAATTATGTACTGATGTAACCTTTTTACTGCACCTTAAATTGTAATGCAAAGATGTTACTTTGCGATAATTAATCCATATATAATGTGTGTAACTGTGTATGGGGGCGTTTTTTTGTGTTCTTTTTTCTGTTTTTGCTAGTACAGTATTTGAGAGACTTGACTCTATCAAACTACTGCAGTAGTAATTATAAATAATAGTATCAAAGTACTATTGCGTGTCCAACTGTTACACGTTGGTAAAATCGTGGGCGGAATCTGGGGATCATATTGGGAAGATACATCTAACATGAGGCAGTATTTATAACCGTAGAATAAAAGAAGCTTTGAAATTAGGATTATGCACCACGGAAGCTAGCCACTTGTTTTACTGGAAGTTTAATCAGATATAAGAATCTGAAACAAAATGTAATGTATCAGTCAAGTCCATGTAGTAAAGGTAAATAACAGACCCGTCGTCACGATTTTGTGATTGGTGCGGCCACTTTGGTAAGTTTTAGCCAGAATGTAGGGGGGTACGGGGGCATGCTCCCCCGGAAAAAAAATTATTCTAGGATGCTCTCCGGGGCGTTTTCCCGTATATTTGGCACAGTTTACAGCCTGTCGCTAGAACATGTTATAGTAAAATGTCAACGATTTTTTAACAGATTTAAGTGCGTCGTAAGTTTTAAGGGTGAAATTTAAGATTTGCATAACGGACGGGCAGGTGTACATAAAAGATGAATACATGTAATTGATATTTGGCAAATGAAAAATAAACAGTAAGTGATGTTATAATTCTTTAGATGCATTTTTATCTGATAATTACAAATAAACAACTACAAGAAATATTACAGTAGGTGGGTTATTGGTTAACATAAATCACACAATGCTATAAGCTTAAATAACAATCGATGCCATGATGGAAGAATAGTACATTACGAGTCAACAATAACCGCTTTTTGTTTAGCAGTAACTTGTATTTTGTTAACAATAATCTTACAAAACACAAAGTCTCATTTGTAAATTTTCCAAAAACACATCGCCGTCGTTCTCTGGTAGTAATGAACTCACCGGCAATCACACGTAAGTTGGGTGAATCTCTCCTGTACTTATGAATATGTAACACCATTAGATTGTTCAAACGTACTTGAGACATTGTCGATCTCAGGTATGTCTTTATTCTTCTGAGCGCCGAGAATGTTCTTTCACTGGTAGCATTAGTAGCAGGCATTACTAACACACAACGACCACATAGAACAGTGCTCGTTCTAGCACTGACTGTTCTGACACAAATTTCAAAACGTCAGGTAGAGTAACAGTACTATTTATTATAAATATATGAAAGTATTTGAACATTAGCTGGGACTTGCATGCGAGTGTTTCCTTGGAAGTCGTCTTCCTGGGTGTGGCCAACCAAGCATACCCACGCAGTCCGACCGGACTCGAGTGCAACCTAAAAAAAGCAACGAAAGTTTCCAAAATTAAGTCCATTTTATAAATTAAACCAGTGTAAGGGTTAATTAGAACTCTGCATGGATGTTGAACAGATTCATTACTCATAGGAAAACCAAGTTACGTATTTTTAATTTATTTTTTACGTAGCCAATTAAACTAAATCTCCACGATCTTGCTTGTTGCATGTCTTCACAAGCATCTGACTATTTTCCCCCACGAGCTTGTATTACTAGTACTATTACTCTTTGTTGCCTGACTAGGTATCAAATACGTGTCCCTTGCAAAGCCGTTCCGCATTCCTACGGACTGATGCAACTGGCAGAATCCACTGCTTTTCTTCATGTAAATGGACAATTATGTACTGCGACAGGAACATTAGCTAGAGCTCATATATGCTACGTTTACACTGTGTTCCTGATGGTCAAATCAGCACTGTCAAAAATTTTTTGAATCGTGAGGTGTTGGCCATTTTTGTCTCCATTTTCAATTGTGTCCTCATGGTTTATTACGGTATTCACCAAAGGATATTGGTGCGAAGAAGCGGTCTCTCCATTACTAAAATTGGACGGTGGTGGTGGTGGTAGTTTTCACGGCAGTAAGCCACACTGGATTAACCAGAGCACATTCCAGCCAGCGCATCGGTCCTGGGCAGGCTATCAAGCAGTTTACAAGAACTAGTTGCTTTCAACTGATTACTTCTGTACAAGCCAGAGCAGAAGTACAGTGCGTATGACCGTCGAAAGGTTTGCATGATCAATCACAACGAAAGTGATCAGCACCGTCCGAGAATCGCTGACCAGACGGTGCATAGGTCTACAGTGATACATATAATTATTTTGATTTAGGTCCGATTACTTCTGAATTAGAACCTTTACGTTTTTTTTTCATGTTTTCATCTAGGTCTGATGCGTTTAAATTGGGAAACCGCAAGTTTTTCATGTATTAATCCAGGAATGATGCGTTTTTGGAGAGGCCTTATGTTGTTTCCGTCTGATGCTATTTAGGATGGGAGCCCTAAAGTTTTTGGTGTTTTCATCCGGGTCTTATGCGTTTATTGGATGGGAGCCCTTATTTTATTCACGTCTTCATCCGGGTCTTATGCGTTTTTGGGATGGGAGCCCTTACGTTATTCACGTCTTCATGCGGGTCTTGTGTGCATTTTGGATGGGAGCCCTGGGTACGCTTTTCACATCTTCATAGTTAAAAAGAAAACGCCTCATTATCTGTTGTCTATAAACAACTAACTTCTTCTGAATGCAACCTGTTTACTGTACTAGTGATTATAGTGGCTGTCTTCAAATTACCAATACATTTGTACTACCTCAAACCATTGTTGGTATAAATCCAGCTAGAAATCTTATATTCTTTTAGCAAGGAAGTTGTTCAGTAAGCTCACAGAAAGTCGATTGTAATACACCAGTGCTTCATCATCAGGAAAATAATGCATGGCATTTCCTTCTGATTTTTCTACCCAAGCTAAAGGAACTCCACTGAGGTCCAAAAAGCCTATAAAACATTTCTTTTTTAGTTCTTACACTAGTCAGCTGAGGCATTTAAAACAGAAAAATATGCAAAATATAATTAAGTGATAAGCACAGAAAATTGTATTTTTGTGCTATTCTCTACGCCCAATTGAGTATAAAATGTTGCAACGCTAATTTTTTCACATTAAGAATTATTATTCTGCAAAAGAGGAGTGAGCAAATGATCTGAAATGTTCCACGCAAGTTATTGGTCTAGACCTACATCAAACAGAATTATAATTTCAAAAAATTATTTTCCGTCCCCTCATGTCAAGAAATCTCTGTGGAGTTCCTTTAATAGAGCCAATATGACTTATAAGACAACCAAATAAAAAACTCAAGGACACTATGACTGAAAATAAATTACCTGTTCTAGTAAACAAAAGGGAGGACAAAATCTAATAAGACAACACAATATTTTGAACATATTTATTACATTAAAGAGAGACCAAAACATAGAAATGTAAATTGTTATGGACGGATAGAAACTACAACACACAAATAAAACATCTATATACGCAATATACAGTAACACGACTTTTTTAAACAAAAAATGCAATATTTTTTCCTTAATAAATTCTGACTTTTTTTTTTGCAAAGTTTTCTAATAATGGCTATCTGGTCTAGTGGTTATACTGGCTGCCTCTTAACAAATGGATTCAGAGTAAGAGCCTTAATTTAGCCATCACCTTGTTTTCTCTGTTTATATCTGTCTATGTTACAGCTGTCTAGGACTAAGGTAATGAACTTTAGAAATAAGTTCATGATTTTGTTTAAAATTAAACTTAAATAATCATGTTCAATATAAAGAAAAGTTGAACATTTTCTTTCATCAAGCATACAACTATTTAAAATATAAAACAAATCTTTTTTTTTTACTAGTAAATTCTACCAACTTGATGATAATTTTGAAGTAAATTGATTTGTCCTTCTCCCTGTTATCATTTAAATTTATTCACATGTTGAAATTCTAAGTACCAATTGAGACAACTTCAAAACCTTGTTTAAAATAATATTAAGTTTATTCAGAACTTATTTAAGCATGTGTAGGAAGCTATAAACTAATAGGCTCACTCTGCAACATGTTCCTGTAACCAACCAGTATTTTTGCCTAGGGCCACATGAACGATTGATCCCTTCCTGGAGAAAACCAGTACCAAGCAATAAATGTGAAGTTACTTGCTCTAGGAAACAAAAGCTTGCCCCTGACATGGTTTGAACACACGCAGTCCTTTGATAACTTGTCTGGTGCGTAAACCACTAGGCCAATGACAGGGTTTGAACCTATGTGGCTAGCAATCCTTACATAACCAATCAAATCCTTGGATTATCCTTGGATTATTAACCACTGAGCCATGCCGCCACTTAGAAATGATATTTGAAATTAACATTTGGTATTAAAAAACAACAACAAAATTACAACACAAATACTTAACATACAGAAACATATTTGAATAATAATATTTTTAACATTCAATAAATAACATTATGCAATAAGGAATGCAAAGAAATCTCAATTCATATGAGAAAATGATATGTATATATATATTATATAATCTACGGTGTCTCAATAGGACCATTATACATTTCAACCAATCAGATCACGATACTGTCTGAAAAACATGTTCTATTTTCAGTAATCAAATCAAAGTACTTTAAGTACTGACAGAGCAAGAGTTTCAAGTTTCAAATTTTTAAAGACTATTTATCTATACTTTTTAGTTCCTAATTGAAGGACTTTTTTCTTTCGTGGTTGAAAACAGGTTTGTGGGAAGTAAGTTATAATTAACTTCCCGATTCTTTATTCTGACTCCGCCCCCTCAAAGTTACTACGTCATGTTACACTATTGTAATTACCAAATGCTGTAGATAGTTTATTATGCTGGTTAGACCCAGGATTGGGCGTGTTATCAAATATAACAAATATAGTAAGTAATACAGGTATTTGTTTATGACCCACTAATGATTTTTTTTTAGAAATTTTCTATGCACTGCAAAAAATTATGTGAATATAATAAATATTTTTCACATGGTACATTCTTTTTGGAACATTTTTGTTCTTATTAAACTTAAATGACATCAAACTATTATTGTTATGCAGATAGATATTACATGTTCTTGGGAAACTGAAATTTGAAACAACCACAAGTCTTCCTTTAAATGACTAAAACTAACACAAGATATAACAAGAATTGTTTACTGGACACTATTGGAGTTAAATAGCCATACATTATTTTTTTTATAAAATGGTGCCATTTACCAGGCTTGATTTGAGTGAGAAAAACTCACTACCAACATGACATTTTTATAGCGGGTAAAATTTGATATGTAACAAATATAACTGTTATTTCCAATATTATTTCTCAAGTACTTAAGTGACTTATTTCAAGAAATATAATTGAGCCATGTCACGAGAAAACCAACATAGTGGGTTTGCGACCAGCATGAATCCAGAACAGCCTGCACATCCGCGCAGTCTGATCAGAATCCATGCTGTTCGCTATCAGTTTCACTACTTGTTATAGGGTTGGTAAACGAACAGCATGGATCCTGATCAGACTGCCCGGATGCGCAGGCTGGTCTGGATCCATGCTGGTCGCAAACCCATTATGTTGGTTTTCTCGTGACACGGCTTATGTGGTCCAAATGAGACACCATACTTGTCAGATCAATCTACCATGACTAGGTCAAATTATCTGTCCTTGGGTCAAAGGTCATATATTAAACACAATGTAACAACCAGTACCTGAATGCAACCTTCTAATTGGTTAACTTAAAGATATGTACTTTTTACTGCACAATGAGGATAAAATTGAAATGTGTACCCACTGTAAGACTTCTCTGTTGGTCAACTGCAAACTGATAAAAAAAAAATGATTGGATTCACTTGATTAGAAATTAAGTGACTGACTTTAGAACATGTTCTTAAACCTTTGACACATTCAAGATTCATTCATCAGATAACTGTTACCAAAAATCATTGTGCTTAGAAGTTCCTTTTTTGTAAAAAACCAACAACCAACCCTAACAGTATTGCCTTAGCCCTTCCCTTTAAAAAAAGGGTCCGCCTCATCTGAACTGTCTATAAAATTCATCATAAAATTACAATAAACTATCTTACAATAACTAAGTCACAAAAATATTTTTAAAAAATCGAATAAAAAGACAATGCCATCATTATATACATTAACCCAAACATGTCCTCTCAACACATATATGGAACTATTACATTCTAGGTGTGCGAATAAAACAATCTGTTTGCCTAAGAAAAATCAAGTCAACATTTTGACTATTTGCCGCTCACTTAAAACCTATTACAAAGCTATCCTCTTTTTATCTAAGATAAAATTCTATATAACATTAAGAATTTGTTTCAATATGAATTGATTTTGAAGCGATCACACAAAATTCTTTGAGAATGTAGTCGCCATAAGGGACTTTGTATTGGTTTTATTCAACTCGGCTTTTTTTCTTTAAAATCGTCATTTTTTTTCTTCTTTTCACTCTCCTTTATCAAACTGCCATCTGCATGTCAGCAAAGTTATAATAGTTTTCAATCTGTTCGTCAGCTGTCTCACGTGACTGACTGATGAACACGAGTCCCGTTAATCCCTTCGTGATCCCCATAATAACCTCCTGACATATCTGTATACAGTTCTCGCCATTATACTCCAAACCTATCACTGGGCCTGAGAAGTGAAAAAAAAATGTTTATTTACATGTAAACTATTTTTGTGACTTAACTGAACCCATTTTAGGAATATATTTAGAATGTCACATTCCTAACATATAAAATATTTTCGTTAATAAAAAATTTCAGTTCTATTAACATTTTACAAGTTAATCTTTGAACTGCCACTGTCATGGCGTGAATACCCCCGCATACCACTTTGTCAGAATCAACAGTGGTCATTAAGAGCTCAAGGACAACCTTCCTGCCAAATCTGAAGGTAGTGTGCCAAAGCATTGCTAAATGATGTATTCTACATGTTTTTTGTGGCAAAGATCAAAGTGACCTTTACCTTTGACTTCAAACCTGAAACTGCCACTGCATGACTTGAATACCCCATTCATGCATCTTTGCCTGGGGGTGTTTTATGATGAATATATGAGAACAAAATTATATGCTTCAAATGTGAAAATGTCAAAATCAAGAACACTTAATACAGGCATTCTTAAGCATTTGAGCGGATAAGCTTATTGTAATTAAAGCCCCTGTGACCTTGACCTCTGACCCACTGACCTCAAAATCAATAGGGATCATCTACTAATCATGGCTAACCTCCATGCTAAATATGAAGACTTTGGGTCAAAGTAATCTTAAGTTATTGGGTGGACATGCTTTTTTCAGTCAAGACCCCTGTGACCTTGACCTTTGAACAGTGACCTTAAAATCAATAGGGGTCATTTACTAATCATGACTAACCAACATGCCAAATATGAAGACTGTGGGTCAAAGGAATCTAAAGTTATTTGGCAGACAAGTTTTTTTTCAGTCAAGGCCCCTGTAACCTTGACTTTGATCCAGTGACCTCAAAATCAATAGGGATCATCTACTGATAATGACTAAACTCCATGCCAAATATGAAGACTGTGGGTCAAAGGAATCTTAAGTTATTGGGCGGACAAGGAAAAACCGACGAATGGCCGGACGCCCGGATGGCCGGATGGACAAGCTGATTCCAGTATAACCCCCTTACAACTTCCTTGTGCGGGGGTATAAAAAGCTTTAAAATATAATAATACAGCATTGTTGAAAGGGAGTGGTGGCCTAGTGATTAAAGTGTTTGCCTCTCAACCCAGGGATTATGGATTCGAACCTAAATTGAGTCACAGCCATTTTTCCCTAATAAAAACTAGTTCTGGTTAGTTCAAATGGTTCAAATAAGCTTTCTTAACAATCCAGTTCACATAAATGATGCTGTACTGCCTTTTTGTGCTTATCCAATTTCATAAATGAACCTGTCCACCTTTGAAGTTATAAACCTGATATATATTTTACCACAGAACTGTGATGAATCCTAAGATTTTTGCCACAGGGTTATGATAAACACAAGAATATCATAAATGCTTCTAAATTTACCACAGTGCTGCAATCTCATCAAATTATTGCAAAAATTCCTATGATTTTAATTTACCACAAATATTGTGATAACTCATGATTTTTACCGCAATACTGTGATCAATCTTTTGAATTTTACCACATTAGTCATAAAATCCTTTATCTTTTACTAAAACATTGTGATTAACCCTTTGATTAATATTAAAAATATTTGAAAAAAATATTTAGAAATAAATCTGTAGAGTTTCCATTTACCTCGGCTGACAACTACATCGTAAGCATCTGAACCAAACACTCGTAATGCATCAGGGGGCGACATCTTCAGCTCTTTTGTTTGAACCAGTATACAGTCAGGCTGATAAACAATAAACACAGTGTAAACTCTAAACATTTATCAATCTTTTAAAATTACTTTGGATGACATAATTTGGCCGTTATGAATTAAGTTGTAATTTGATAAGCTGTTGTAAGAAAATAGTTACGGGTGTAATGCCATAAATTTCCATGGAAAATTGTTCAATTATGGTAATAAGAATTAAAAATATGATGGAATATGGTAGAATATATTATTTAATTATCTGACATATATTTGCAATTTTGATATGAATATTCATCCCTCAAGGACTTACCCATGGATGACAATTTGGCAAGCCTCATTAGTGCCAAATGGGTGGGTCCCCTCTGGAAGGATATTCCGATCCGAACAGCAACATATGACAAATATTATTATTGACATATTCAACTGTAAACAATACATTATACTGACATAGGCTGTGTAATGGTTATTAGAAAGAATAGATAGTATAAAAGTTACTTACATGAGAATTTGTCATTTCATCGATAAATTTCAAGGCACGTTCTTGTGAACTCCCATCAAAGAAAAACACTATCAGACATGACTGAAAATAAAACATCCATACACGTAAATTTTATATAACAGTCATATACAGCATATTGAATGAGTGTAAAATTAATACTCAATTTATTGAACAAGTTTAATAAAATCATATTATTTATTGTTTTATTCAATGAGTTCAATAAAGGATTGAATCTACACGAATAAAAAGGTAAAGGTCTTGTTTATTATAGTGTCACCCCTACTGAAAGGGCCAGCCATTTCTGACTTATGAGACACCTTTTGCTTGCATACCATGTACCTCCCAACTCCTACCACTTTGCCAGGCGGATAGGAATTGGTAACCATTCATTTTAACTACCTTGCGGCTCACAAAGCGGCCATTTTCGGAAAGAGTCCCATGAGAAACATTCATCCTTCAATTAACGCTCAATCAATTCTATATTTCACATGTCCAAAATGAGAATGAGAACGGTTTACAGTTTTTAATTGACCAGCCTATAGTGTAACATAAACAAGCCTTAAAATGATGTCATAGTGTTATTACACTAATGTAGTATCATTTTTATTAACTAGCTGTAATACACTCCTGTACCTTGGTATATGTAATACATGATTATCAAATAGGGTACTATGTTGCAGAAAATAATGTACAACACATTGTGTCTGGTTTATATGTCTATTCAAAACTATTATTAAACATTTCAAAATACAAAACATAGGAAAAGTGACAAACTCAAACGTCACGCATAATTTGGCGTAATTTAACTGCACATGCATATGAGCCAAATTCCCTTCAATGATGTTATATATAATTGGTGTATTAAGCCTTAACCAGCTGAATTTGTGTCATGATTTACCCAGATTTAAATTAAGAACAGTTCTGTCAAGAACAGCTCCATATTTTAGTATTAAAGTACAATTATAAGCTACCAGTGGTTAAGAGCATGGTCAGACTGCACAGATATGCAGACTAGCCTGGCTCTCATCTGGTGCCATAGGTTAATCACTTTCATTTCAGCAGGAAAAAACACTTCTGTTCCTTGTCTTCAATTCAGAAAGAGGGTAATTACATAGGAACTTCTTTTTTTCTTGAATATAATTACTTAAACATACTCTGATGCATATATTTTAATACTTTAAAGAATCCGAAAGACAAAATGTCTTGTTCCAGCAATTATTAGAGAGTCTTGTAACAGAACTACTTTTTATGGCGTAAGAAAAACACAGAGAATTTTTTTTACCTCATCTGAAGTCTTCCTCCTGTTACCTAGCGACCTTGGTACTACACTTTTTTTAGGATCCAGGCTTATCTCAAGGAATTGAAAGTCGTCTGTACTCGGTAATGGCACAAAATCATCGACTTTACAATCCTGGAAAAATAATAATCAAATATTGCCATTTTTAACCCTTAAAGCAGCCTTCAGCTTTTACGAAGGTTAAATATGTTTTTTGTTTAGATAAATCATTTCATATAATTGTCAAATTAAAAGAATTCCAATGAAATATGAAATTTGCTGCCGATAAAACACAAACTATAAGGAAGCCCCTCGATACCTCTAATTAACCAGCCGCTTTCTATATATATAGATAAGTAAAGCAGATTTCTATTTTTAGAAACGAGCATCACTAATGTGTAAATATCTCTCAGGATGCTGTTATGAGGAAGGCTTCACAATGACATAATACATTTTTCCAAGATAAAATTATTTAAATACTTATATTAGAAACAACAAAAAATTGTTTTAAGTCTAAACATTACATTAGTTTCTTATAACAAGATATGACAATTTGTTTGTATTTTAGTTGTAATAAACAAATTTTTTTTTTCCGATCCGATTGATTATGGTACGACCCTATCGGAAAATGGTCACTTCATATTGTAATCATTTTGAGTACAAAAAACCTCCGTCAGTGGATTTATGGGTACTAACAAACATCCATTTTATTTGTCAAATAATGAAATGACAATGTACATTTTTATGAAAAACTTTTTTTTAAATAGAGTAAAATAAAAATAAACCCTTGACATAAATACACCAACAAATACCTCTGGTAATAAGGTGAAATGTTTCATGTTGTCATCTTGCGTAAAATCGTGAATATTACTCCAATTGTTATTGAACACACTTAATTTCGCATCTTTAAACTGGCCTGAAATAAAACAATCCAATGTTCATTATTTGATTATATTATTTCTTAAACAGAATTTTAACATAATATACCCTATGCCATTTGTTTAACCAACATGTTTCTTAGCCCAATAAATTGTGCGTTTTAGGGCTTTTTATTATATAGACAATGGTCACCCTTCTATGTACTATCAGATTGTAACATCGGTTAGTCTTGCAGTCGAAATATTGAGACTACATATTTCTCTCCTGGCAGCTATATTACCTCAGATTTTCAGGCATATAAATTTAAGCTTATTTTTTTATCATACAGACATGTCAAAGTGTGAGAAAAATGTGCGGAATGATAGGGACTCGAACCCAGGACCCATGTAATACCATTTCACAGCTCTACTAACTGCTCAATCCTTTGACTGTAGAATATATATCAAATCATTGAATCTATTCAAAAAGCTTGATGAACCCTTTTAACCCTACAAAAATTTTATAATACATGTTATTATGAAAAAGTTACAAGCACAATTAGATGTACCTACAAAACTTTGATATATAAAATAAAATAGTCCTTCTTCATACACAAACTTTGATTTTCATGATTTTTTCTGTCATTTCATGAAAATATTTTAAAGGAATCCCACCTCAACAAATTTTTTTATAAATCAAGTAAGTTTCAAGTAAATTTTCTTTTATCATGATATCTTAATAGGAAGAGCCACTTGGGACTAAGGCTCCCTTATTTATGCATGATTATTAGTTTACTTTTATGGGGCATCAACACAGTTTAGGTCAAATGGCAATGAAATAGGAAAGATGATTTTGGCCAACCTTGGGTGTTACAAATTTAAAGCAACACCAGGGGTCAAAACCATCTCACCTACTGAAGCTAAGAAATGCATAAATTCCAGTAATTCGAACCCATTAAGTCGTCTCTTACTATCATGCAGTTTTAATGCCAAAATACTTAAAATAAAACTGTAACCGATATCTTACCAGCAAGTTCAGGATAGTAATAGGTAAAACACGCAAGTTTTACACGGGACGACGACTCTATGATAGGTTGCGTAGCACAGCACAGGAACGCATCTAAATTCTGGCAATCTCTCAATCGAAACTGTTGACAAGCCACAACAAACTTACAACCCGTACAGTCACGTATAAATATACTGAAAACACAATGATGACATAATATTATTCCATTGTTTCAACAAACCCAGCACAATCATCAGTAGCTGTTTTAAATGAGACCGGGGGTTGAAGGGTGTTAAAAAGAGACCGGGGGTTGAAGGGTGTAGAAAAGGAGCTGGGGTTGAAGGGTGTCAGGTAGGAGAATAAGAATCAATTTATCTTCAGGTTGTGTTTCATTGGAAGTCCCAAGTGCATCCTTTTGGACTAATTTCAGACCATTTCAATAACCATTTTTATCTTCAGTCAAATACTGTAGGCTATAAACAAATGCTTTCTCCTGAGAAAAGAGAGAAATACAATGACAGACCCTTTTTATTCGCAATGTTTAAATGCCCATCAGCCATGCTATCAAGAAATTTACAGTATTATAACATAGGAGTCATAAGTTAGGACATGTTCTCTGAAACACAAAATTGTTTCAGTTTTGGTCATAAGACTGATTTCAGACTTTGGACTTCAACAATTGACCGGCATGCAGTCTTTTAATCGTTATGTAAAATACAAAAATTATAACACGAAAACAGATTTTGATTAACTCTTTACACATGAATGGTACCCTGAAATATTCTTACTCTGGAATTAAGAATATTTTGGGTTTTTCCCAGCTCATCCAGGGGTACAAATTACTGCATTATATTACGGTTACAGCTTTGAAAATAAGCGCAAGAGGTTCACTAATCTATTGTGACTGAAGTGAGTGAAAATGCACCATGAAGCTATGATGGTAAAAGTTTGTTTGTACCAGGGGATGAGCTTGGAAAAACCCTACATTAGCAGAGTTCCTGATAAAATATCTATTATCCTTATAGGTTAGCATACTAGCAAACTATACTGTTTTATCAAAGCATGATAACATGTGAATGAAAGATAAGGTAAAAGGTTGTTACCTGGTTTGAATTGGTCCAATAAAAAAGTTACAGTCTATACAATCATCTACAGTAACAGTGCTGGTGTAATCATATAAATATATGTTACAATTCTGAAATGGTAATTATAAAATTGATCTCTATTTCAATCATTTGTAGAGCTGTCATTGATTCAGTGCAAAGCATATCAATGATATATCGATATCAGATGACAAATATCATTGATACAGCACTATATTGATAATCACCTAAAATTCAATTACTTGTCTGCCAATCACTTTCATATGTGTTAAAATGATTTTGGTAAAATACATGTTCTGTTCTGTGTCTTGTTTGATCATCAGAAAAATATCATCGATACATCAATATTGTTGATATCAATGACAGCTCTAATCATTTGTGCATAAACAAAAGTTGTCCTGACAAATGTCATTAACTAACAAATTGTGTAGTAATATGAATAGTCCCTAAGATTGTACATAAATAATTAATCTTTAATTTTAATGACAAAAAGAAAAATAGTCGTAGAACAAGAGCAGTATCAGTGATCAAGTGTCGCCTGATGATAGCCAATTAAGTTGTTGTATTGAGGGGTCATTGGACAATTGTAATACTAGTAGTAATATTTCCTTAAGAGGGAAGTATGCATAAAGGGACATTCTATGTTGAAAATCTTTGAAGAATTGATTGTAAAATTATGGAAATGCTTGTAATATTATTTCACTTTTTATAAAAAAAATTTATTATAAAAAATGTCCCATTATCTTTATAGCTTTTACACCCTTTAAATATGATAAACTTTATATCATACTCCAACAAGAGCTGTCCGTAAGACAGCGCGCTCGACTTTTTTATTGCTTGCCAATAAAAAAAGTTTTTGCAGTAAAAGGCAATACAAGAATCTCTGTATTTTTAAAGTGAACAATGGCCATGAGCATTAAGATATTTAGTGAAGAATTATTTTACTGAATTGTGTGATACCCTTGAACACTGCAGCAAAGTTTGAAATGTTTAAGTCAAAAGAGGGCTGGTAAGAAAGAAAAAAAAACTGAGTTGAGCCTTAAATAAATTTAATAGTATTAAACCCACTTTGAGAGAATAAGGTATTTTTACGTCACTCAGAACACCTTGGTAAATGACATAATAACATAATTTTTTTCAAGAAATCTATGCCAAGGAAGCAGTATATTTTTGTACAATCAGCATAATATATAGATTTGACTTTGTCATGTGAAAGTATTATAGTTACCTTATAATACAAGTAATAGATAAATTTTATCAAGCTTTTTTAGATGTTGTCAGTTGGGTCACAAGTGGATCTCTTTCACACAGGCTGTGGTGACTGGTTACTTTTCGTGGGGTCCACTATGTAGATAATGCGTTGTAAACTGATATTTGAATTACATGAAGGAAGTTCAATTCATTATTTAAATGTCATCTAAATGTTCATGAAATCGTGACATTGAGTATATTTTTACCAATTGGGGGATCTCTGAGTGGTGGCTACAAAAAACTTAACCAAGCTCAATACCGACTTTTCTAAGTCAAAAAAGGGCCATAATTCTGTCAAAACCTTGACAGAGTTATGTACTCTTTGTCTGTAGATGGAGGTTATGATGGTGAACAAGTATGGTAAGTTTCAAAAGCCATATCTTTGTAATACTTCTGAAATAAAGTGGGGTGGTACGAAAAACTTAACCAAGGTGTGACGCCAACGCCGACGCCGACGCCGGGGCGAGTAGGATAGCTCCCCTTTTCATAGAAAAGTCGAGCTAAAAATACTAATTTACATGTGATTATTTGACTATCATTTAAATATGAATTGTTTGTGATAAAAACATACTAAATATTATACTGCAGGGCTTTCTTTTAATAGGTTGCAGAAACAGCCCTGTTCTTAACGTTGGTGGAAAAATTATGCAGTTTATTTGCAAAAGGGGAAAAAAAATTGATGTTAATTTATTTTTGGGGAAAACTGCATGGTTTTAAAGAATTTTTCTCTTGGGGAAACTGCCCCAAAACAGCCCCTGCTACAGAAGGGAAAAAAAGCCCTGTGTAACTGTTACATGATAGTGATATTGGTAGTTCTCACTTCAGATCACTGCATTAAGCCACATTGAATATACCAGACCACAGTTCAGCCACAGCATCATTCCTGGGCAGGCTGTCAAGCAGTTTACCAGTACTAGTCGCCTTCACATTCTGTGGAATCAAATCTTCAGTACATACAAGAGCAGAGGTACAATGCAAATGACCGTAGAATAGATTTCATGATCAACCACAACGAAAGTGACCTGCACTGTCCGTGAATCGGACCCTTGTCGCCCCATTCACAGTTAGCATGATCAATATATCCCGATCCTATATACAGCTATAGAACATTTTGACACTTACCTTACAATTTTGTACAATGAATTGTTTGCCATTAAGAGATCCTGGTAATTTACAAACTGTTTGATTTGTTAAACCATCAAAACATGTAATTTGAAGGATCCACTTTAGGTCTCTTTCCCTAGATGAATATATAAAAATAAGTTTACCTTAAAAAGTTATATATAAAGAATGTAATTAATGAAGAATCAAGTTCATTCAACATTTTACAAAGGTACACACATGTGGTCAGTTCATTAAACATTTTCCAAAGGTTAAAAACAGTCAGTTTTATATATTTTTAGTCAGAAATTCTGCATTTTAAGAAGATGGTTTGGATTTTGCTATAATGTTAAACCCATTTTGGACATTTCAGGCCTCAGGAGAGAGTTTGGTGGCAAAACAAGCTTATTTCCTATTTGCAAAACTCTCAAATGAAAGCTGTGGTCTCACAAGCAATTTTCTCAAAGTGATGAGTTTAAACAGTACATTGAGTTTAAAAAAATGTACTTTGAAAAAGTAGCATTCCCTGTATTATTCATTAGGAAAGGGCTAGCCGTACAGGCTGGTAAGACTAGCCAAAAGTTACTGTACTTTACAGTACGTGACTCAGGTACGGCTAGCCTGGACACACTGTATTGTCTAGCCGTACGGCACTTTTCAAAATTATATGAAAGTGGAAAAAGCATATGTTTTTTATGTCTTGAACGAGGATTTTAACCAGGAAACAGCAATTGTCTTTGTATGTTTACTTTTTAGATATGAATAGCCATGTTGGCTAAATACAGAATCATATCAATTGTGTCATCTCCAGATGGCCTATTTAAGTGCAGTTGAATAACATCATTTATATAATTATTATAATAGTCCTTTTTTGGTTCAATAAGTTTAATTTTCAACACCTTTAAAAACGAAAAAGCACCAAAAATAATTGTTGTTGAGTTCTGATAATTGCCTCAGTAGAAGTTTGTCCATCATTGTACAGTAAGGTAAGTTTGCTTGAAATGCATTCTAAAAGTCCTAATAAATCCCTGTACTATAGGCTTTAATTTAGGTCAATTGATTTTGCTTTTATGTTCAAAATTTATATATTTAAAATTGCTACAAGTTGCTCAAATTGTTTTTTTTGTTCTGTTTTTCAATTTTCTATTTTTTTATTCATTCCATTGACAGATCATGCTGTTATGAAACAGTTTTAGCTTCTTTGGCCGTTATGATTATTCATTCCATGTGCTTAGTCAACAATAAAAGATTTAATAATTCATCTTTCATACAAAAAAAAACAACAACAAATCTTATATAATCATAAAAAAACAAAAACGTTATAACTTAAACTATTTATTATTTAATCATAGTTATAACTTTGCATTATGTGACGCATATACAATGTACTTTGCATAATGCGTTATGTAACTTTGACACTTTTATCGCGATGACAAACGCTATCATAATTTTCTTTCTTTATCTTTTTTCTTTGCAAAGCTTTTGTTATAAAGTATGAGGACAAACGCGGGTCCTTGGTTTAAATCCTTGTTAAAAGACACAAAAGAACATATGCATTTTCAACTTTCATATAATTTTAAAAAGTGCTGTACGGCTAGACAATACAGTGTGTCCAAGCTAGCCATACATGACTCACGTACGGCTAGAACTTTTGGCTAGCCGTACCGGCTCGTACGGCTAGCCACTTCCTATTCATTATAATTTGACAAATCACAAAAAATCTACGATTAAATAACAAAATTTCATTTGGCCTTTGCATCTTCTATTGGGACAAGATAATTTCAATTAGCATTTTAGTTTCAATTCGAAATCTTCCATGGGGTTTACCTGGTTGAACCATTTAAAAAGTTCATCATGATGCAAAGCGAATGTCAGACGTTTCACTCCCAAGACGTTTCACTATTGAGACGTTTCGCTCCCAATACGGTTCACACCTAGACGTTTCACTCCCATTTTGTCAATTGTATGGACGTTTCACTCCCAATTTTTAGAGATGTCATGGAAAGTTAACAAAATTTTAATTTCATTAATATCAAACAGTGTAAAAAGGAAATTCATTTTAACCCTTTCCCCCATGAGCATATTGTGGAAAATGGCCGTTTTCACTGAAAAGCCTCCTGCTACAAGTTCAAACTGCTATGAAACTATGAAAAATGCTTCAATACTAATCAAACTTGGCACAAATGTTGACTGGTCCATTGCCTTTGTAACAACATGCTCAGTCTTAAATTTCCTGTTACCATGGCAACGAGGGGGCATCTCAAAATTGCCCAAAATCACTATTTTGCCTCGATTTTTTCCATCAAAATTTATTTCAAAGTGCTGCAACTTCTCAAGGGATTAAGATAGAGTCAAAGGCTTTTCAGCGTTGGTTACACGTTTCATTATGATCGACCTGGGGTCATTTTTAGCCTCTCACAAGTCCAAAATTTTCTTGGCGATGAGGGGGACTCCGCCCCCTTCAAACCCCCCTAACAGAAGGGCACATCCCCCCTTATGGCAACCCCCTGATGTATCTTTTGGATGGGGGCGGCGCCGAAAAAGTGCTCATTTTTTTTAGCAACATTTCTCAAACGAAAACATGTGTTTGGGGCCCAAATAGGACATTTTTTTCACTCTTTGAGGCCTAAAAAAGGGGGGGGGGGGGGTCGAAAGTGTGTTGTTTCGCGTATATATGGGGTAAAGGGTTAATGTTTCATTTTGTTGATTTCAATGGTATTGTTAATACGAATTATTAGAAGATTATTAGTTTAATTATGGGTTGAGTGATAAGAGATGTAAATGAAAGACAAATTTCTGAAATATCACTTTTATTATAAGTGTAACAAGATGAGAAAATTCTATTTAAAGTAAATTAAAAAAAAAGAATAACATAGAAAGAACAAAAAAGAGTTAAGACATATTATAAGTATCAATTTAAATATTGTAATCACTACCAGTAAAGTAATTAATATTATTCAAATAATAAAAAATATCAATATATTAAATATATTGACTATATAATGATTATTTTTTGTAAGTCTTAAACAATGAAATGCGAAACATATGTATAAAATAAATTATTTTTTAAAATTATTTTCTTCATCAATTTATTTAAGAAATAATATATCCCAAACTGTGATTTTATTGGTCAATAACATCACTGTTTGGAGTTCGGATGCGGGGATTTATATCACGAGGGCGTAGCCCGAGTGATATAATGATGCGCATCCGAACGACAAACAGTGATGTTATCAAGCAATAAAATCACCGATTTGGATATATTATTTCGATTCTAACACGACATCAACAAATAAATGCTGCCGTACATTATAATTAGCTTAATTGCGCCTGATTTGTTTCCGTACTTATTGTCAGCGCGTCACATTTTTAGTGGTTACGTCACGTGTATAATGATTACGTCACATGTCTAAATATAGAACGTCAAACAGTGATTTTATAGGGGTGCATAGAAAAACCGGAAAGCACCGGATAGCACCGAAAAACCGGAAAGCACTCAAATTTCTCATAAAAACATATGAAAACGTTAATTAATCGGTTTGAAAGTGTTACCAATCGATTAATTAGATTAAAATCTTTCAGACAAGTCATTTTTATATTTATATATTGATAATTATTACGAGTAGTTAGGAAAATAGATATATCGAGTGCTTTCCGGTCCTGTTAAGATACATGTACATTACCGGATAGCAATATTGTTTATCAAAGTTATACATGAAAATTTTATTTTATTGGTTTGAAAGTGTTACCAATCGATTTATTAGATCAAAATCTTACAGACAAGTCATTTTTATAAAAATATATTGATAATTTTTACGATTATTTAGGAAAATAGATATATCGTGTTGCTTTCCGGTCCTGCTAAGATACATGTACATTACCGGATAGCAATATTGTTTATAAAAGTTATACATGGATACTTTATTTCATTGGTTTGAAAATGTTACAAATATATATGTTATATCAAAATTTTTCAGAAAACATGTTTTTAAATTTATAATATGATTATTATTACGTTTGATTAGGAAAATAAGATATATCGAGTGCTTTCCGGTCCTGCTAAGGTACATGTACTTTACCGAATAGCAATATAGTTTATCAAAGTAATACATGAAAAACTTTATTTATTTGATTTGAAAGTGTTACCGATCGATTAAGTATATCAAAATCTTCCAGACAACATGTTTTTATAATTATAATATGATTATTATAACGATTATTTAGGAATGTTAAATAAATTGAGAATGCTTTCCGGTTTTGTTAAGTATATGTACCGAATATCACTCGAATTTTCCCTAAAAAAAACGTACAACCTTCATTGTATTGAATGAAAACGTTACCAAGAGATTTATTAGGAAAAAAATTTTTTTTTTTATAATTAATATACGAATAAAAAAAGTTTAAAATATATATTTAAAATAGATATATCGAGTGCTTTCCGGTCCTTCACATTCCATTATTGCTTTCCGGTCCTGTGAAGTAATAGTAATACATCACCGAAAAGCCACTGGTCCTCTTACCTCAAGACATACAGATGGTATATAAATATTTAAAATGTATGTACCTTGTCTAATATATTAATATATTTTATTTGTTGTAGGCTATATGGAAGACAAGAGGATTCAAAATAGCAGAAAGAGAAGAACAATAATTGTTTTCAGTGATGTTTTTTTTATTTTTGACAAATAAACAGTGCAATGAATAAAAATAAACGAAACTAATACTAAGAACAAAAATAAACAGATATAAAACAGAACTTAGCAAACATATATACATACATAATTGAAAAATAAGTATGATATTTGAAATCAATCAAGGCACACTTCACGCCTCGTTTATTACACGGGCACACGCTGATTGAACGGACACACGCTGATTTAATTATCACATTTTAAAGAGGGTTAATAATACACAATAACTGGATGTATTTAACTGATTGATTATTTTTGATGTATTATATATGATATTGAAATGTCATTTAAACTTATAATTTAATTGTATTTACAAACAGTGATGTTTTAAAAACAAAATCAACAAATAACTCACTATTATATACAATCCAATTCCAATTTCAAATTTTATTGCCTGAAACATTATACAATGTTTATAGCAGATAAACAATATAAACATATATACCTG